ATTCTGGCGGGACCCAATCACAGTACGGCACGTTTGCCTGATTCCCTATATAAGCAGCTGTAGTTTAGTCCTCGGGGCCCCTCACCTCCCGCTCTCCCTTAATCAAGAGGCGCTCCAATAAAGTGTGTTCTGAGAAGGATCCTCGCATGGTGGTCGTTCTTCCTCGCTGGCCGAGGAGCGCGCCGCACATATAAATATATACAGGAGACACTTGATCATGATAAATTTACAAATAATATTTACAAATCAATCTCCTTTTGGAAATGGAGAATCTAAGATATAATGATATTTTAGAAGGATTTTTTCTCTAATATTTGTCTAAGGTTCATGTGAAATGAATCTTAAGGTATACTTTTAGTATACTTTTAGTCACCCTAGAAAATTTACATTTTCTATTGTAAAAAAATAATTGAAAATATTTGGTCATATGTACACACCAGATTTAAAGATTGCCAGTCTTAGAGGGAATGAGGTTCTTTTTTCTTTTTCTTTGTGATTATATTGTACTTCATATTTCATATATAATTCATTTTCCTCTCACATTCCTTCTTTTTTCACTTCTGTGTGTGTGGAGGTATAGACGTATGTGTTTGGGTGTGTTCTTTTTTCTCTCTCTATTCGAACCTTTATGTGTATGTGTCAATTTCTGTCTCTGTTCTTCTTATTCTTTGCATATATATCTATGCCTAACTTTGTTTTTTTGTGTGTAAATATACATGTGTCTCTGTGTATTTATGTTTCTCTTTGTGTATATGTTTTTCTGTATGTGTATATGTCCCTCTCTTTCACTTTCTTTGAGTTTGTATGATTTCTCTGTCTGTCTCTCTTTCTCTGTCTCTGTGTCTATGTTCCTCTCTCTCTCCCACTATGTGTGTGTGTGGTAGTGGTGGGGGATGGTAGTGAGTCTGCTTGAGTGTGTATGTCTGCTAGTTTTAATAAAGACTCATATATGGCAATACCATTGTTTTAAATCAGGAATCAACCAAGTACAATTAATGATAACTCCAGTTAAAGAATATTGTCACTTTACCCACTCCTGTAGGATGCTTAGCATTTCAACAGAACATTCTATTTAGATGGTTGTTTCGAACATTTTAGATAGACAGGTCATCATCAAACACTTCAGAGATCTGCAGAATATGGCATTTAAGATGCTTTAATAATATAGACATTTTCTTCTTTTTTTTTTAATGAAAATTAGACATGTCTGCTCCTGGCAGCACCAATTTACTTCAGAGAAGATGATGGGCATTGAAGAAACTCCATATGGAGTTGACTTTCATTGTGGCAAAAGTTAGCCACTGGGCAAGAAAATGCCCTCACTTTGCTGACAGTATGCTGTCCAAAATGGACAAGCAGGATACAAAAGAAAGGACAGCCAATCCTTGCCAAAACAAGTTAGGAAAGCTTTGGAGAAATCCTGCTTCACAGATGAATCTGTCAAATATGCTAAGCCTGTAGGCCGAAGATGAATGTCCTAACATTTCATAGAAACCTCGGGTGACTGTCCAGGCAGCCAGTTGTTTCTGTCATTCCTCACATTTTTTTTGAGGTCTCTCTCTCTTTTTTTTTTTTTTTTTTTTTTGCTTCCTGTTTAACTTGGTAATATTATTTCCTTCTCAGGTCTCTGAGGGAGTTGAAGATTAGATAGTTATAGTTATATGTAAATGAATTTCTTAACAGTCTTATTAAATAAGAAACACAGAGCCAAATACAGGGGTGTAAGCTGTAGAGATCACATCAATAGCTGCCAACTAACCTTAGATCACCACGTCACCATAGCTTCCCAAGAGAGCCTCTTCCTGTCTAACCTGTGCTTTTATTGCCTTCCTGTTCTGCCTTCTCATTGGCTCTTATCCCAGCCACCTCACTTCCTTGTCATTGCCTGTCTATACAGACCTCCAGGTCTCTATGGTTGGTACTGGGATTAAAGGCGTGTGTCACCACGTTTGGCTGTGTCCTTGAACACACAGAGACTCTGCCTGCCATATGATTGGATTAAGGGCATGTGCTACCACCACCTGACTTCTGTTTATGGCTGACTATGACCTCTGATCTTCAGGCAAACTTTATTTATTAACATACAAATAAAATATCACCACAGTTATAGTTTTCTTTGTTAACAAATTCAGAAAAGAAACTCCCTAAAGTGTATAAATTTGAAAGACATCAAAAGATAGTTTTCAGTTGGTAATACAGGTTAGGATAGAAAGTGAATTAGGTACATTCTGGACTCACCAAAATAGGATACATAATGGAATATTTTTGCTGAATTTATCAAATGCAAATGACTAGATATTGTTGATGTATTGCCTGTTCATACTGTATGTAGTTATTGTATTTATTGTATATAGTTTTTCTTATATTAGTTATAACTTTTTTATTTTAGACAAAAAATGGGGAATGTGTTGGTGTTTTATTTATGCTCTAATAAATAAAGCTTTCCTGGGGATCAGAGGACAAAGCCAGCCACTATATTAAATATAGAAGTCAGTCAGTGGTAGCACACACCTTTAATCCTAGCATTCAGGAGGCAGAGATTCATCTGGATCTCTGTGAGTTCAAGGCCACACTGGGAATGAAGCCAGGGTGGTGGCACACGCCTTTAATCTCAGCACTAGTTAATCATAGAGGTTTGGGTGTCTATACAGACAGACAGGAAGTGATAGAGCTGGGCAGAAAGAGGAAGTGATATAGCTGGGTGGAAAGAGGAAGTAAGAGGCAGGGCACGGAAAGGTATATAGGCATGAGTATACAGGAAGTAGCTCTTGGGCTGAGTATTTCCTAGCAGTAAGAACTTGTGGCTGGCTTGTTCTATCCATCTGATTTCTCGGCATTCACCTCAATACCTAGCTCCGGGTTGTTGGTTTTTTTTTATTTTTATTAATAAGACCATTCATGTTACATCTGGCAGTATGCAGTAATTATGTTGTAGAGCTTGTTTTCAACATCTGGTCCATTTTCTAGGTGAGACACAAGCGCTTCCTCTCCACAGATTGGACATCTCGGAATGAAAGCCAAAAGTTGTTTTTACTCCTAAGAATCCTCAAAGCCTCTCTGTTTTTTTGTCTATTTTGCCCAGTCTTGCTGAAGTTACCACATCTTTCAAAGTACACTTTGCTCAAGAAATCATAGGCACTGAGGGTGTATGGCTCTTTGGGTACTAGGCTGTGTGGGCATTTCAAGTCAAAGTTCAATATTCCACACACAGTGTGGACAAAGAGATGTAACAAATCTTGGAATAACATTTTTCTTGGTAAGCGTGAATGGGTGAACATAATTTTTTATCCCATGGTCATTCAGATTCTATTGTGGATCAATAGATCTAGGCTCCATTAGAAAGGCAAGGGTTCTCTCCAGAAATCATCCCAGATGACTCTAACCTGTAGTCAGAAGGTACATCATAAATACTGATCCTAATAATTTTCCTGCTGGAGATCTGGGAATGGTAAGGAAAGGCATTCTTAAAGAATCCACTGTGAAAGATTATCTGTGATGGTTGGTTCTTTTTGCCCCCACAGTGCTCAAGATTATCAACTGTGGTTCTGTCATGGCTGCCAAGAAGCCCCAAGCCTACTCCAAGGTAAGTAACACAGAAATCTAAAGAGGAGCTAAACCAAGTTCAATGTTCACACCCTGAATTCTCAATGTTTTCATCATTCAGTCTTAAAGTTAAGTGCACACTTAAAAACAAAATAACTTAAACATTATTTCATTCATTTAATTCATAATTATCAACTACTTGATATAACCCAGTCATGTGATACCATGTATTTATGCAACAGTCTGTTGTCTGATAATAAAAAAAAAAAAACTGGCATTTCCCCCTGAGATACAGAATTTTCACAAAAAGACAGACAATACAAGACTTTGGATTTCTTGTTTCTGAAGAAAAAAATTTAAAATTTCCTTCTCTACCTTGAATTGACTACTTGACATTTCCAATCTTTATGACGTACAGCTGCAAAAAAAAAAAAAAAAAACCCTCAGCATAACAGAAAAAACTGATCAGAAGTATTGACGAAAGCCAACCACAAAGTAATCCTATTACCCATTCATTCCTAGATACAGGGCAAGAGAAACAAATGCTCATCTCACCAAAAGACTTACACAAAAATAACCATGTATTTTAATTCAAAACAGCCCTCTAAGTTAACCCAGATTTCTACCAATAAAAGTGGGTAAATACATCAGGATATGGGATATTATGAAGAGTTGGAATATGAAGAAGTAAGGAAAACCAATACACACAAAATATAAATTAGTTTTGTAGGTGATATATAGAGCAAAACAGCCAGGTGGAGAAAGGAAAGAACAAGATAAATCTTGAGTAAGAAGAATGGTTGTCTCTGGAAGGACTTACTGTTATTTTTTCAAAACATTTTTTACACAAGTGGAAACAGAATCTGCCTTGATATTCACTAGATTGATCAACATAATGTCTTTCCACTGAACTGTGTCTCTATATTAAAAAGTAGTTTAGAAAATGCAAGGAAAATATAGAAAGTGAATAGTCTTCACTGGACTCAGTTTAAAAGAGGTTCAGATCATAGGCATGAGCAACCACACTGAAATCTACTGAATTTTGTTTTAATTCTTAAATTTTTTAAAATTGACTTTTTAAAAGTTGGATCTTAAATTTTGAGTTTTACAGCCTAAATTACTCTCACCACTAGGTGGCAGCAAGTTAGGGGAAAAAAACAAAACAAAATCCATACAGAAAGGAAAGCTAAATGATGTAGCCTTGTTTCACATTTCTTTAGAAAACCACTCATACATCTATACTTCTAGGTACCCAGCTATGCCTCACATGTAAAGTAGAACATAAATGACTTCATGGGAAAGTTTTGTTTTCAGTGATGGATGTGAATGTTCTGAAAGCCCACGTGATACACTTCTGCGTCCTCTAACCATGATAGCCCATCACCTTAAATATCAATGCCAATCCTACCATCCGACCTAGGACAGGTAGCCTCCTTAAGCCTTTATGATTCAATTCATTTTTTAATTTGTTCTTTTTTCCCCTTCTACTTTCATGGCTGTTCAGTCTTTGGGGGCAGTTTTGACGACACGCTCCCATATTTTAAGTTTCTTTGTCCCGTGTCCCTTCCTGAGTGCTTGAGGAGTGAGTGACACATAGGCTGGGCAATAGCACCAGCTGAGTTTTTCCTTAGCTCTAAGGCTGAGACGAGAGCCTTTTATTGTTAGGATTTTGATGGCCTTACTATGAATGCCAGGCTTGAAATACCTCTGCCTCCAAAATGCTGGGATTAGAGGCAAGTGCCACTGGGCTCTGTGAGACAAAGTCCTTGATGCTAATTAAGCAATTATGTGTTAAAATGACTTGTGGTACTCAGTGTGCCATTGCAGGCCTTCATGAACATTGCTCTGTCCTAGACTTGCCTTATTCAACATGCCCTTGCATGTTTAAGGAGAAAACATTGCCTTGCCACAGCTCAGCAGCAGATGGCATTCTCCCCTGGAGTCCTCCCACTGTGCTCTGAGAAAGGTGTGAAGAAGGACCTTAGCTGACAGTCAGCACCCACTGGAGCGCAGGTGGAACAGTGGGTGTGAATACTCCACTCTTGAAACTGGAGGGAGCAGGACCTGGGGAGATAAGCATTTTTTATTTATGTGCTTTCCTTTCCTCCCCGCCGGAGCAGTTATATTTTTCTGGTTTTCTCGCTGATGGCTTTGTAGCTCTGAGCACTCGTTTGTAGTTACTGAGGGTGGAATGTGATTTGTTTGCTGGTGTCCCTTTGCGAAAGTACTAAAGAATCCACAGGTTTCCTGCCGGACTGTTGCTTGCAAGGTGCCAGTCGGCTCCGAGTGCTTTGCCAGCTCCTGTCCCCAGCCTTGTGGCAGTTCTTGGATGTCATTCTTGGCTTAGTGAAACCACCCACCACCACAGTGTCTCCAACCTTTACCCCAGAGACCCTTCCTCTGCCAAGTTGGTTTCGATGGCACCTATGACTCACTCTGAGCTCTGAGGATCCACTGCTTTATTTTAATATAAATCCCCATCGGGACTGAAAGTTTTAGAAAAGAAACCGTGGACCGCATTTTACCCAGTAAATATAACACACGGTCTTTATGCTGGCGTTTTGCTGCAATGGCTAGTGGAGTCTGCCCCGCTGCGGTTTTTACATTCCAGGCACAGAACGCTGCAGATGACAAAGGCCTTCAGAATTAACAGCTGGCCAGCTTCTGCAGCTGTGTGAATAGGGCAATGACAGACATCTGTGTGAAGGGCTTCGTGTCACTAGGCTGGATAAGGGTGAACACCAAGCGCCTCGTGGGGCTGCACGCCCTGCTTCAGAGCCCATTCAGTGAGTTCAGTGTGTCCATGAAAAGCAGCGATGTACAGGGCTACCCTCTTCTGGTACCTGAATGATGCTCATTTAACTGTGAACATATTTTTGAGGGGCTAGGATATCGGTGCAGTGGATAAAAGTACTGCCAGGTGAACCTGTAGCCCAGTGCTGTGAGGGCAGAAACAAAATTGCTAGGACTGGCTACCCACTGGCCTGCTTCAGAGAGAGAGAGACCCTGTCTCAAAAGAACATGGTGGGGAGTGATAGAGCGGTGCACCTGACATTCTCCTCTGGCTTTCATGCATGAGCTCACACACATGTACACATGCACCACAGAGTGTACCACACACACACACACACACACACACACACACACACACACACACTCGACAATCAGTTTTGGTTTTTTGACACAGGGTCTCTTATAGACCACACTGGTCTTGGACTCACTGTGTGGCTAAGTCTGGCCTCGAACTCCTGATTCTACCTCTACCTTCTTGAGTGCTGGCATTGTAGGCATGTGCTCCCACACCCAGCATGAGCTATAGTTTTTAAAGTAGATCACATCTTGGACCTTACTACCCTACCACTCCCAATATCTTCCCCAAACTTGAAAGATAAGTCAAAATTCACTCATATTTCTCCATGAAGAGGCCTCTGTCTACTAATTGCCTCATTCCTAATGGGTCATCCAGTTCCTTGAAGCTACTGTCTTGTCCCAGGGTCTTTGCATATAGTTCTGGAATACCTACTTCAACACATTGATTGGTTTTTTTTCCTTCTCCTTACCACCTACCTGAACACAAATCCTTAGTTCTCAACTCATATTTATCTCTCTTCGGGTACTCTTCTCAGTGTTCCCATGGTGTGTGATGTTGTTCTGTCTGCCTGGTACCCCGTCACAACCCCTTTCATACTGAATAGTAGTAGCAGCAAAGTTTGCCTTTACATCCTGCTTTCTATGTGCCCAACATCCTTATGATTATTGAGTCGTTTGAGCCCTAAAAAGTGCTCTGAGACAGATGCCCAAGTGTCCCTAGCTAAATAGTGAAGGAGTCAGGCTTCAAACCAAGGCAGAGGGGACTTGGAGTTCACAGTCCCAAACATTTTGCATTTCTGCTTCTCCAGGAATTGGTCACTTGCTTTTCCCGCCTCCTCTTCTGTACTGTAAGTTTACAGAGTACAGTAGCCCTCTTTTGTCGTACTGAATTCTTAGGATCTTGTACAGTACATAGTAAGTACTCACTATGTGCTGATTAGTGTTGGAATTCCTGGCCACTCCCCCAGCTACATGCCTGTTCAGTAGCCAAGCAAGGGGCCTTACATCCTACGTAATCCGTGCACTGCATGATCGCTCAATTGCATGTTTGGTGTAGCTCCATAAACCCATATTCGAATGCGCAGGGGAATCCATAAAAAGTGGGTCACAGACTCCTCCCCACCAACCGCTCCCTGCACATATCTTCCATAGGCCTCTTCTGTCCCTCCTTCCTCAATAAACTCTGATAATTGGTTTTGTTGCTCCTCATGGCTTTTCACACACAGTAACAACACAGCTTAAGGAATAACATTGTGACGCCACATAAAACCAACAATTAGGTGGAGAAGAATAAAGAGAGCACTTATGTCTGATCATGTACATCTTTGAAATATTAGTTTCCTCACCTGTCAACCAAAGTGAAGAGTGCCCACCAGGAAATTATTGTACGTGTGAATGAGATATACATTATACAGTGCTTGATCTCAGGCAGTACACTTGCTACACAGTATTAAAAGTAACACAGAGCCGGGTGGTGGTGTGCATTCCTTTAATCCCAGCACTTGGGAGGCAGAGGCAGGCAGATCTTTGTGAGTTCAAGGCCAGCCTGGTCTACAGAGCGAGATCCAGGAAAAGCGCAAAGCTACACAGAGAAACCCTGTCTCGAAAAAAACGAGAGAGAGAGAGAGAGAGA